GGGGGGGGGGACGATTGCAGAGCGTAGAAGAACACAACGAAGAGAACAGCAGGCGCTTAAACTTTGCCAAAATATTCAAGTTCCGCAATTTAAAACCACCAAGTAGCCACAAGGTTTCCGCTCACCTTGCTGCAGAGTTGGTGTGAGGGCGTAAATGAGAATGTGTGTGTGTGTGTGTCCCAAAGGGCAGCGCGCGGCCTATACCCTTATACGGCCCTTGGACCGGTTCCAAATACGTGCCCTTCGGCTGCGCCCTACCTGAGGTCTGCGGCCGCAGCCTGCCCCTCCCCCCGGTGGTTGGTCTGGTTCCGCCGCCCCCGGGCTGCCGTCGCGACGCTCCCAGAGTGGTGTCGGAGCGCCGCGGCGCCACACGGTCACACGTCTCCGAGTGTATTTGCATTTCAAATTCTCCCGCCACACCGCTTTTTACCCCCGTCGCATTTAATATTATTTTTTTCACTTGGCGCGCGCTGTAGTATCATTATATTTCCCCAGGGAGTCGCCTGGTGAGCCAGGGAGAGGAAGTGAGAGAGAGTCACAAAGAGAGAATGAGAGAGAGAGAGAGAGAGAGAGAGAGAGGTGGATAGAATGAGAGGGAGAGAGAGAGAAAGAGAAAGGGAATGCGAAGGAGCAGAAGTAACTCGTGCCACACCACCCGTCCCCTTTCATTACATTCAAGTAATTTTTATTAATCCGATATGTTTTCTCTTTCTCTCTTTCGTGCCAAGGAGTCATTTGAAGCCGGCCCGCGCGGGGGGTCTCTTGCATTTCGTCGTGCGCCCTGCTGTTTTCCTTCTCTCCTTTTATCTAGGCTCTCTCTCTCTCTCTCTCTCTCTCTCTCTCTCTCTCTCTCTCTCTCTCTCTCCATCTTTCTAGCGCGAGCGAGACCGCGACGGGAAGCGTGCGTCCCAATGCAGCAATAAGGGGCGGGCGGGGCCCAGGCCCACGGGCCGCGCACCTAACCTGTTCTCATACTTTTCTTTTCCCCACACTTTCCTTTCATTCTTTCATTTTATTTTATATTCCTTCCCGGCCGATAGGCCGTATTACGCGCCCTTGTTGAGATTTATTCACCGATACCTTCCCGAGGTGTTTTCCCCGTGCCCAGGGGGTGAGAGGGGGGAGGGGGGAGCGAGAGTGGAGCCAGTGGAGCCCGCCCACGCCGAGCCCAACAAGAGCGAAGGCGATAAAATGCATCGCATCCACTTTTCCTGTTTCCTCACAACGTCCCAAAGGGGGTACCGAAAAATTCCAACTTTGATACAAAATAAAAATAAATAAATAATAAATCGATGAATAAATTGCAGGCATTCCAGGCGGCCGGAGCATGTTGCTGGTCCTGCGGTGGTGGCCCCGGGAGGAAAAAACGTTAACAATTCTTGTTAACCATAAACGGACCCTTAGTGAAGCAAATTTTCAATTTTATAGTTTCGAGCAATATTTTTTTAATATAGAAGTTTGCGCCGCGTCATAGCGCCCTCTCACTTGTACAATCTGCTTTTGGACGCCATGTAGGCATTTCATGCCTGCTCGCTGCATTGTTCTTGTTCTTGATGTGTCTCTTTGCGTGATATTTTTTTGAATTAGCCTATTATTACTTTTATAATTGAACACAATTTTTGGCATGAGCGCTGGGCCGCGGCGCGGGTGACTACTCAGAGAGCAAGGTGTCCATTGTTGCTCTGGTACCCGGGCGTGGGTGTGGAGCTGCTCAACAGGTGGTGTTGAACCATGACGCTCCTGCCCCCCCGCGCGCCCCAACTGTCTGGCAGAAACGGGTCCGTTTAAAAAATACACAGGGAGAGAGAGGGAAGAGCGCAGGGAATTCCCCGCCGAAAGAGGCATGGTTGAGGACGATAGGAGCAGCTCACATGTGCACACAGACACACACACACACAGTGTGAGTGGACAAGAGACCTACATGGAGAGACAATGAGTGAGTGAGACTGAGGAACAGAGTGAGACAGAAATAGTGGGCAAGGGGTGAGGGAGAGAGAGGTAGTATCCACTGGCTGGCCGGACAGAGCGGCCCCACTCCTCTCTGGGCTCGCCTTCCCCCAGGACTTGGCAGTTAGCAGCCGAGAGTGGAGAGAGAGAGAGAGAGAGAGAGTGAGAGAGAGAGAGGAAAAGGGCCCGAGGCGGGCGCTCGCTCCGGCCAGCCTACCACCGCCGCCGCGGGGCCCACTTCCGGACTCCTCGTACCTCTCTTCCGGGCGCTTCCGGATCTCCGTGCTCATCGTGCAATCTGGCGGCAAACAAGCTGCGGCGAGGCACGTCCCGTCGCGCCGCACGCAGAGCCGGCTGCACCACGAACAGACTTGCAATATCATGAAATGCATTTCCGCTTGCATCCCTCTAACAATAACAGCCTCCCAGGACTCCTTCCCAAATCGGCGCTTCTCGAATAAACGATTGACAGCACTGGGATTTCATAAGCACACTGTCTCTCCACAATTTGTCCACAAAAGGAATGCTAGAATTTTCGTATGCAAAATATGGCAAGGCCAAGCCTCGAGTTTTGCAGTGAGCCGAGTCCTGTTGTCCTGATAGTCAACTGGTCTGCCCCCGTCTATACCTCGCGACCTCGTTCGATAGTCTCGATAGCGCGCCCTGCCGCAGCAGTCGATACAGGGCGCGCATTGGCACATTCTTCCCCCAAGTTTTGCTCCGCGAGACGACGACGCCCCCGCGTGCCAGCCGCCGCAAGCCCACCACCCCCCGTCCCCACCCTCCCCGCCCCCGCGCCGCCGCCGACGTCGGGCAGAGGAGGAGGAAGAGGGAGAGGTTGCGGAAGGCAAGCGACGTAATTCGATTTTCGCGATCCATCACACATAACTTTCGCCCTGCGGGGCCAAGAGGGGCCGGCTGACTGAGGGTTGTAGGGGCGGCGGGGGCCACCCCGTGTGCGGCCGCGGCCCCGACCCCGTGCAGGTAACTGCCAGGGGGAGGCCCCAATCTCTGCGACCGCGAACCTCACCCACCCGCAGCAAACCGAGGCTGTGTGACTAGGCGCATTGCACGCACCCCACTTCAATTATTTTTTTCGCCGACATCATTCTCCGCTTCCGACTCTCGTGATTTTTTTCTTGTTTTTTGCCCCTTTGCTTCTCTGGCAGCACATCCCTTCTTCGCACGCTGCTAAATTTCTGCGCCCCATCTCATTCTCTGTCTCTCTCTCTCTCTAGCGCTCGCGCGCTTGATGCTTTCTTTCTCTCCTCGACCTCTCTCAAACAGTCTGTGCGCTCCACAGAGGAAAAAAAGAGAGAGAGAGAGAGAGAGAGAGAGAGAGAGAGAGAGAGAGAGAGAGAGAGAGAAAGGGAAAGACTGCTTGACCGGAGGAAGTGAGAGGGGCGTACCGTACCTTCCGAAGGCGAGCCGTCAAGCCGGCTGATTGGCTAGTTAATTGACAATCCGCATCCCCTCCGACTCCTGGACACGGCACCGCAATCCCGAAGCTCACCTGCAACGAAATAAAGAGAGAGGGGAGCGTTAGAGAGATAAACACTTCGAGAGCCTCGCCGCCGGACCAGAGCCTCTCCAGGGCGGCTCCTCCTAATCAGATCAAACTCTGCTGCTCCGGCCGATTACACGCGCGAGCAATTTTCCACCTCGCCGTTCAGAATAATTTCGAAAATTCGCAAGGAGGAAAAAAATTAGATAGTAGGAGGGCACAGCTAAGGGGCGACGTCTGCTGGCCGAGAGAGTCAGGGGCGCCGGTCCGCCCCCGCGCTGCCCGCCAGCCTCGTCTGGCCCGTCCGGCTTGATTTGGCTGCCAGCGGCGCGACACGCCTCGCCATCTGGACAGATTTCGCCGACAAATTGCGAAGCTCTTCCGTCCGTCAAATTGGAGTCGACTCGTAATCAATCATCCCATTCGCTCCTCTCTCGCTCCTCGTGGCTAGGCCCTGCCGGCGGCGGCGGGGCGGGGCGGGGCGGGAGCGAGCCAGCTGACGGGGCGGGAGCGAGCCAATGGCGCAACAGGGAGCGAGCAAACGCGGAGAGGAGCGAGCGAGCATCGCAAAGAAGGAGGCGCTGTCTCTCAGGTCTCGGGCTGATATCGGTCAGCAAAGAGCCGAGGCAAAGAGCAAACTGCGTTTGAGATAAGAGCAGAGAGAGAGAGAGAGAGAGAGAGAGAGAGAGAGAGAGAGAGAGAGAGAGAGAGAGAGAGAGAATAAAAGGGTTTCCGAAGGCGGCGCGGCGCCCTGCCCCGCGGCTCAAGACCAGACCTCCAGGCACCACCGCGTCGTCGTCACTGACCTTCGCCTCGGCATCATATAAGGGCTGGAGACGGAGAAGGGGGTACCGCGTTCGCAAACACACTAGGCCATTTCCAGGAGGAGGGGGTTGGTTGTGGTGCTGGAACGAGGCTAAGGCGCGGCGCGCGGCATTGTGTTGTGTGGGCCGCAGCCATGCCTCACAATGCCATTCTCGATTACACCCGGGGCCCTCTCCTCTCTCCTCGCCGTATAGCCTCGTCGTGAGTCGCGCTTTGTGGCCGCGACGTGAGATTACGTTTACTTAGTTTCCTAATTTCACAACGACAGCGGCGCAGCATTGTGCAGGAGGGGGGCGGCCCGCCGCGCTCACGTGAGCCCCCTCCGCCCCGCCCCGCGCCGGGGGCAGTGTACAGAGGATAAAAATCAGTCACGAAACCTGCTTCGCCACTGACATGCAATCGCAGTGACAGCCAGCGCGCCCTGCGCACAAAGACCAACACAGCCTTTTCTCCTTCTACCTTTCTTTTTTTTTGCAAACGGGGGGGACGGGTAAAGAACGAGACGGAACAAAAAAAAAAGAAGAGAGAGAGAGAGACTTTGGCTTGGGAAAACTGCAACCTTAGCAAGCGACAACAGTGGAAGAAGAAGAAACACGCACGGCGGGTGCAGAGCAGGGGGCACAGGAAAGTGAGGGACAGAGGTAGGGGTGTGGCTCGTAAGACGTAACGTAAGAGCAGGGGGCACAGGAAAGTGAGGGACAGAGGTAGGGGTGTGGCTGGGGCAAGGGGGGAGAAGTTAGTGTTTACCCGCGCAAAAGCGAACGGCAAGCTTTCAACTTCTTCCCAATATTTCGTTTCGGCAGGTGGCGTCCCGACCGCCTTTCCCCCTTTTTCCTCTTTCGCTCATCTTTCCAACACACGCACACACATACAGACACACCTGCACACGCACAT